TGATCATGTGATTCTTTTACTTTTGTTTATGTGGTCGATTATGTTGATTTTATAACGTTGAACCATCCTTGCATACCTGGTATAAATCCTACTTGGTCACGGTGTATTTTTTTTTTTTTTTGATAGCTGTTGGATTCTATTGGCTAAAATTTTGTTGAGAAATTTTGTGTCAATGTTTGTGAGGGATGCTGGTCTATAACTTTCTTTTTTAGTGGTGTCTTTTCCTGGCTTTGGTATCAGGGTTATACTGGATTTACAGAATGAATTCAGGAGTATTCCTTCCTTTTCCATGTTCTGGAATAGTTTGAGTTGTATTGGTGTCAACTCTTCTCTGAATGTTTGGTAGAATTCCCCAATGAAACTGTTGGGGCCAGGGCTTTTTTTGCTGTTGGAGGTGGGGGTAGTTATGGGTCTGTTCAGATTTTCTACCTTAGTTTGTGTTAGTTAAGTAGTACATTTCCAGGAATTTGTCCATTTCCTTTAGGATTTCATATTTGTTGGAGTATAATTTCTCATAGTATTCTGTTATCCTTTTTATTACAGTTGGTTCTGTTGTAATTTCATCCATGTCTTATTTGGGTTATCTGCATCTTCTTTTTTTCTTTTGTCAGTTTGGCCAGTGGTTTGTCAATTTTGTTGATCCTAAGAACCAGCTTCTAGTCTTGTTTATTTTTCTGTTTTCTGCTTCATTTATTTCTGCTCTAATTTTTAGTATTTCCTTTCTTCTGGTGGTTGTGGGCTTCTTTTCCTGCTCTTTTTCTATTTGTTCGAGTTGTATTGTTAAGGTGTTGATTTTGGCCCTTCTTTTTTTTTTTTTTTAAATATTTTATTGTACTTCAGGTGAAGGCTTACAGAACAAATAGTTTCTCATGAAACAGTAGTACAGATGTTGTTTTATCACATTGGTTAACAACCCAACAACATACTAACCCTCTAACTCCTCAACCTTTTTTTTTTTTTTTTGGTGAAAATACACATAGCCAAAGATACACTGTTTCAAAAATTTCTACATACACAGTTCAGTGACACTGACTACGCTCTTCCAATTGTGCTGTTATTCTCACTTAAGATGAAGGCTTACAGAACAAAATAGTTTCTCATTTAACAGTTACTACAAATGTTGCCCTATGACAACGGTTAACAATCTCACAACACATCAACAACATCCTTACTCAACCTTGGGTTCCCTATCACCAGCTTCCTTGTCCCCTTCTGCCTTCTAGCCCTTGTCACTGGACTCCTGTACCTCGTTGGCCCTTCTTTTTTGATGTGTGTTTATTGTTTATAAATTGACCTCTGAGCACTGCTTTTGTTGTGTCCCAAAGGTTTTGGTATGTTGTGTTTTCATTCTAGGATTTTTATTTCATTTTTAATTTCTACTGTTACCCAGCGGTTTTTAAGTATGATGTTGTTCAGTATTTTTTTCCTTGTTCTTCCTGTTATTTTCTAATTTTAGTGTTGTGATCTGAGAAGGTGCTTTGTATTAATTTCAGTATTTCTGAATTTACTGAGGCTTGCTTTGTGGCCTAGAATATGGTCTAGAGAATGATTCATGTGCGCGGCAGAAGAATGTGTACTATGCTGCTGTTGGAGTGCTCTCTGCACGTCTACGAGGTCAAGTTGGCTGCATGTGTTATTTAGCTCTTCTGTATCTTTGCTGTTTCTTTCTAGCTTTTCTATCACTTAAAGCGGTGTGTTAAAGTCTCCGATTATTACAGTAGAACTATCTTTTTTCATTTCTGTTAGGGTTTATGTATTTTAGAGTTTTGTTACTGAGTGCATAAATACTATGGTTATGTCCTCTTGGTAGATTGATCCCTTAATTCATTATGTAATGCCCTACCTTGTCTCTTATGATGTAGTTTGATTTAAAGTCTATTTTATTAGAGATTAATATTGTCATTCCTGCTCTTCTTTGGTTACTGTTTGCTTGATGTGTTTTTTTTCCCATCCTTTGATTTTTAACCTATTTATGTCTTTGCCTCTAAGGTATGTCTCTTGTAGGGAACATATTGATGGGTCATGTTTTTTTATCCATGCTGCCCCTGTCTCTTGACTGGTACATTTAAACCATTTACATTCAGTGTGATTACTGACAGACATGAATTTACTACTGTCATTTTGTTATGCTTTGTGTGCTGTTAACAGTTGCACTGTTCCACTTAATTTTATGTGCTGAGTTCTTTTGTTCATGGATTGTCTTTTTGTTTTTTATTTTGTGGTTTTTGAGTCTTTATTTTCTTTATTTTGGTGGGTAGGTTTGTTAATTTTCTTTGGTTACTGTGATGTTTACCTTTATCATCGTGTGTTTAAAACAGTCTTGTGTTTTGATACCGCCTTGACTTCCTCTCCATATGGAAGTTCTGTTAACTACACCATTTGTTCTCCCTTTTTGTTTTGAAGATGCCATCAATTTCAGATTGACATCTCTGGTTCCATTTTCAGTTTTGTGGCTTTGAGAGTTTTTTGGGTTAACATTTGGGCATTGTTGTGTGTCTTGATCTCAGGTTGTTGTCTGATGTGACTGGTTCTCTGTCCAAGGGATTCCCTTTAATATTTCTTGTAAGGTTGGTCTCTTTTTTACAAATTCCCTTAATTATTGTTTATCAAGGAATGTCCTAATTTGCCACTGTATCTAGAGACTATTTCTGGATGTATTATTTTTGGTTGGCAATTCTTTTCTTTCAGGGCTCTACATATGTCATCCCATTGCCTCCTTGCCTGCATAGTTTCTGCTGAAAAGTCAAAGCTTAGTCTTACTGGTGTCCCTTTGTGGGTGATATTTTGTTTTTCCCAAGCTGCTCTCAGAATCCTGTCTTTGGTTTTGGAAAGTTTGATTATGATATGTCTTGGTGACTTTCTTTTGGGGTCTATCCTGTATAGGGATCATTAAGCTTCTTGGATGGAAATTTTGTCTTTCACAATGTCAGGAAGTTTTCTCCCAGCAAGTCTTTGAAAATTCTCTCCATGCTTTTTCGTCTCCTCTTGTTGTGGAATGCCAATCACGCATATAGATTGTTCCTCTTGATAGTGTCCTACATAACACTTAGGCTTTCTATTTTTGTCTTATTATTCAGATAAATTAGTATCAAGGGATTTGTCCTCTATTTTGCTGATCCTTTCTTCCATTGATTCTGTGTCCTTCCACTGAGTTATCTCTCTCTGATATTTTATTGTTAATATCTTTTTTTTTCCCCTGAATTCTTCTAGGGTTTTGTCTGTCTTTTCCTTGATTTCTTGAGGAGGCTATGTGTAAGTCTTCTGAGTTCCTTAACAGGTAGTTCTATTGCCATTTCTTCCTCAGGAAGATTTTTCTATGCCTTTATTTTGCTCACTTGAGCCATCTTGTCTCGTACCGTTATATGATTTGCTATCATCTGCTATCTCCGAGCCATTAAGGTGTTATTTTATTGATTGTATGTTTGCTTTGTCTTGGTTTTTTGCTTTGATGTATCACGGTGGGCGGGTCTGGTTTGCTCCACTGGTCATTAGTCTCATGGCTCTGGAGCACTTACCACCTGTGTCTGGGTGAGTGGGGCAGCATGACACTGTTCACTACGCGTGCACATGGCTGTGCTGGCCGCTGTCTGTTGCTGGTCTAGCTCGGTGGGTGCGGCAGCAGGCAGGAGCTAGGGTGGTAGTATTCGAGCACTTTCTCCCACTTGGGTGGGCAGGTCAGTGTGCAGGAGGGGCAGGGTGGTTGACTAGGGGAGCGCCACAGCTCTGTTGCCGCTTGGTGGGGTCAATTGGGGGAAGGCTGGAGCCACCATGTGGTGGGTGGGAGGTGCAAGGCAGACAGAAGGGGTGAGGTGAGCGGCCATGGGCACGCCACAGCAGCGAAGCCACTGCACGATGGGATCAGCAGGTGGGGTGGGAAGGTGGCAGACACAGCTGGGTTGGGGGGAAAGGGAGGACTCATACTGCTGTCCCCGGTGGTCGGGGCTGCAGGAATGTGAGGGTTCGTGGTGCTATATTCACTAGGAAGGTGGAGGGGGAGCCTGCTGCTCTGGTCACTAGGCAAGGGTGCCTGAGGACGTCCCACTGGCGGCAGCCAGCACTCGGGAGCTGGCCCAGACTTAGTGCAAGTGGGGGGAGGGGGGCCCTCCCGCTGACACTCTATGGATCTATTATTCTGTGTGCGTCACTATTCACAATGGTTAGGGACCACTGCAGTTGAGTATCCCTGCCTCCAGTTCTTGATTCCCTCCCTACTCCATGGTGCTGGGATCCCTGGTGCCCTTGCCCTCCCTTCTTCTCCTCTCCCTCACTAGAACCAGCCCATGTCCTGCTTACCTTGTTCCACTCCAAGTATGTCTGCATGGTTTTTCGGTCTCCTTTTGGATGTTTTGTAAAGTTGCCTTCTGTGTTCCTCTCCCAGGATTATTGCTGGCTTTGTCTCAAGATGGCCATCCTGTGCTGGACTAGCTAGCGGGGGGGGTCCTCCTCTCCTCATTTGCTCTTTTCAATCTGTCTCTTCTTCCAATCAGTGTTCAATCTAACACTTTTATCATTTCATTTAATGCTCAGGGTTTCAGGATTATCATCTGTATTGATTTCACTTAAAGGGATTGCTTGGTGAGTCTGATCAATCTGCCATCTTGGCTCTAGCTTCCTTCATTTGATTTTTGAAGACTTGGATTAGGTTTTATTTTATTTTGTATCCAACACAAGATCTTGAAATAAGTAGGTTCAAATAATATGCTTTCATAATAAATATACCTCTTAGGCTTTGGATTTTTTTCTTTAAAGGGCCACAGAAAAACAGTCAAACTAATCCACCTAAAAGTAATATGCTAAAACAGAAAGCACAAAATACTTGCCAAACAAAATCTCATAGGTATAACAATCTACTATTATCACTTTAAATGTAAAGAGCAGATATTTTTTTGCTGAAGCATGAATTTTCAAGCAAATAATCTCCATTAACATCTTTTCTCTTTTAAATGGAACGTACTAGATGAAATATTTTAATTTCTCTAGATTAAACTATACAGTTTCCGTAAGTATAAACATATTTTATTTCAATTAAAGGCAGTGCGAAATACAAAATAGGAAGTTTTGATAATTATAAAGTAGAGACAATGAAAAATCCCACCCTATTAATTTTTTGGATCTTTAAAATACTGAGCATTGTTCTGATGGATTTTTATGTAAACAGCTGGGAATTTACACGACACTAGCTAGTATCTTGGCAATTCACTCTTTCTGACTGCTGTATATAACCCAACTACCATATATTAAATTCTCAATTATATTTTCTTCAAAGGGCTGTTACCATAAAGAGCACTGAACTATACAGCACAACTGATAAAAGACTACTCAAATTACATTATGTCTGCAATGTCTCAGAAGTTTACTACTTCAATCAGATAAAAGAAAAACTGCAATACTGTATATATTTCAGTTCTCTTTACATGATCCAAAGGGAGCTACATATCTAACTTCCAACAACCTCCATTCTTAAGCATGAACATCTTTATGCTAATTAGGATTTCTTAAAGCTTTATTCTTTCATAACACTTGGGCAACAATAAACATTTCAAAGTCATAAATAATGACGAATTAAAATCTGGTTATGGTGACATGATTCATTTGGTAATCAGATGCCCAAGATGGACAGTGGAATCGCAACACAAGCAGGTTTAACTTACAACATGCTCTGCAAAAAGGAGAAAAATAATGTAAATATTTCAGGATATTACACCTCCCCACCATTCCACTCAATGAGCCTATGTTCCTCAATTTCCTCAGCTGGTCTCAGTTCTCTCCTCTTAGCAAAGGCATCTCACAGTGCTGTGTCTAATCTTTTAATGATATGCACTTTTTTATATAACATGGCCTCTAAATGCAAACCAACTCTATATTTACACAAAACCATGTAAACTATACCTCTGAGTGATTTAGGGTTATTCTGACTATATACAATTCTCACCAAACACTTGACTTGAGCACCAGATCCACTGTAACACATTTTTGGAGATTTAATTCAGTTCTGATTGTTGTTTTTAGTGTCCGGCAGATTTGTGTCCTCATTGGAAGAGTTGATGTTTGGTAAGTATAAAATCCAGTAATTGCTGAGATTTCTCCATCACTGAAGTTGTGTTGTCTTGATGGGGTTAATACTATTGAAGTCCAAGAAAAAAGGTCCTTCTTGTTTAGGCAAAAAAGTACTGGGAATGATATTGTAGATCCCAGCAGGTATATTTTCTAATTCTAAGTAGCAAAACCCACACCTATATTTAGGGAAAATGAGAACAAGATTTATAGAAAATGATGCCACAAAAATTGAAGTATAAATTGGATATTATCAAAATGCTAACATTACCTGTAATCACCACTAGATTTCCTCTGAAAGCCACTGGGACCAGAATCTCCCACCACAGAAACTGTTACCACCTCAAATCCAACACTGTATTGCCTAGTGTTAAAAAGGAATAGAATTACTGCTAATTATTAAACAGTTTCATTTCAGATAAAATGCAGATGTACTATCAAATCAAGTATTTGCTTTCTAAAGCTTCAACACGAGCAAACAGCACTCTGAAACACATGCATATTATTTTTACACTTAGGTATACAAAATGACATATTTTTTAATTGAAGCCATAAAAACTAATAAGGTATTAAACTTACTTTAAAAGAGACTTGCTTCCCAAGGAATAATGTAAATTTAAAAGATAAATATTGTCATTATAAGAGGCAGAAAGACTCATCTTAAATGCTGTTGATAAACACTTGGGTTGTTTCCAATTTTGGGCTATTAAAATGGCTTACTGGCCATTAGGCTGCCTCTTCTGTGACATGCCTGCTCAAGCTTTGGTTCATTTTTTTAAAAATTATAGACTTTTCTTACTAATATAACATATTTACAAATCTTTATGTCTTAAGAAATCTTTCCTTTCCCCAAGGATATTATCTCCTGAATTATCTTCTAAAAGCTTTATTTTCACATTTAGGTCCATAATCCACCTGGAACTGATTTTCAGAAATAATGTAAGACATGTGTCTAACTTTTTTTGTATATGGCTACACAATTATTCCAGCACCATTACTGAAAAGACTGTCCTTTCCCACTCCTCTGAAATACCATCTTTATCATAAATCAAGTATTCATATACGTATAGGTCTTTTTCTAAACTCTGCTCTGTTCCACTAAGCTCATTTTAAAAATAACATCGTCGATTTAAGAAAATTACGCATCACAAACCTTGGTCCTCTTAGCTCAATCAGTAATGGCCCAGTCTTATCTACATGGAATTGGTAGATGGGGTTATTTTTGTGAGTCTCTTGGAAATTTCCACATCCTCCAGCACTCTGACCACTCCACTTTCCATTAATCTAATAAAACAAAGTTTTTACATTAACAGAACTTCAAATTCTACTTTAAAAACAAAAATCCTTGTCCCTAAGGGGGGAAAAAAAGGAACTTTCCACTCTGGCTCCATCCCACGTCTCCCATCTTTATTTCCCATTGACAGTCAATATAACTTTCCATTGCAGCCAGGCTGCTTTGCTACATGAAGCCCTATTTCCATCCTATTTTCCCTTCCAAGAATTCTCCCTCGAATCTTCCTGTAAACATGTAGCCCACTTTGCAAAGTTAGTCCCAAATTCTACTAAATTCATCCACATGGCCTTCCCTAACAATCAAGATTTGCATTAATCTGTTGTCTCTGAATTTATTTTTTTCTTCTCGTAGAATCACTTAATGTCATTCATGTAGAAAAATTTCATCTTCCAACTTAGACTGGAGGTTATTCATATTTTCTCTTTGTATCCTGTCAAGCCCCAAAATGTTTTCTTTTCTTGAGAAATTGTTAAATGTGAAAAATAAAATGAGAAAAGGGAAAAAGGGGAAGAGAATTCTAAAACATTAGAATGCTGAGATCATGACCCAGAAAAAGATTTCTCTTACCCGTCTTGATAAGGTGTATGGTGAAGGGATCTTCGAAAAAGTAAAGCTGCATGCCGAATATACCTAGATTCAAAAACATTTATTAATAAACTTTGTTTATAAAAACATCAAAGTGATAAGAATATACTGGAAGACTAAACAATTAACTGGCATATGTAAGTCATTATTCTATAGGCAGCCTGATATCAAGTCAAGTATAATGAACTAGTAATGAGAAAGCTAGGGATCTTGTCTTAGCTCTTCTCTGCCACTAACTGTATGTGGCTCCGGACAAATCACAATCTCTCCAGGCCTTGGCTTCTGCATCTGAAGAATGAAGGGATGGACGCAGCTCCCCAAGGTCCTTTTCATCATTAAAAATCTATTAAGTTTGAGCTACTTAACCTACCTATGGCAAACAAATCTATGCAGAACAAAATTATAATGACCTTCTCAGGTACTTGAGAGCAATATGTTTACAGGCGAATAACTGCCTTTCATTAAGTTTAAAGACTTATTTTTAAGTCACTAAGAGTATCATGGAGCCCTGGTGGTGCAGTGGTTGAGAGCTACAGCGAGTTATGGCTGCTAGCTGAAGGGTCAGCAGTTCAAACTCACCAGCCGCTCCCCGGAAATGGTATGGGGCAGTTCTACTCTGTCCTATAGGGTCTCTATGAGTTGGAATCAACTCGACAGCAATGGGTTTTTTTTTTTTTCTAAAAGAGTATCATATTGGCTAAAGGAGTTTTTACTGCTTTGAAATTAGTCCAACCATACTATATTACCTCAGGACTAACCTATTACTATCATAATACTATATTATT